TCTAGTTCTTGCGTGACTGGCTAAGGGGGTGAAATGAAGGCCTGTTGGTCAATCTGCAAGCTGCAATATCCTGGTCCCATGTGTCTGTGGATTAGATGATGCAGAAACTTAGGGAGAAACTGCATTCACAATACCGGCTTATTCGGCAACAACTCACTTTGTGTGTAGGCTGCTTGAGGTAACACTTTGTGAAGAACGTTTTCATTTTTATACTCATGATTAAATTGCAAGATGTTTACAGTAAACACACTGCACCCACATATATTATCTTATTCAGGAATTGCCTGACAGTTTGATACATCACGGTGTGGCTGGCTCTGGGACAGTGCTGATACATCACGGTGTGACTAGCCCTGGGACAGTGCTGAGTTACCATTGGGTAATGACTTCTCTTAGAGAACATTGACTCTGCTACAAGAGTTGATATGTGCAGAATTAAAGGAAAGTTAATCAATATAGCTTACATTGTGCAGCTTATCTGCTCTTTTTTGTTACCATCCTGCCTTTTGTTGTTGAAAGCTGTCTCATGCTATAGGCCCCTTCATCTGTTTCCAAGGCCTGTGCAGCATGGCAAACAGAGCAAGAGATTCCCTTCTCTGAGCATTTCTGTTTTAAATAAATTAATAAAAATGTAAATTGACTGCATTATTTAAAACAGTTTGAATAGCTGATTTTCTGCAGGATATTTTATTCAAATCTTTAACCTGCAAGGATTTCAATGATGTATGTGTGAATTAATTCTTTACTAAGCACTACTTGCATATTTCACATAACATTGCGCTATGCTTCTCCGTTCTGGCTGAGGAGGATGTGGGAGCTGCCAGAAAAGAGAGTTTGGCAGCCCACAGCGATGGCTTACAAAGTCAGTGCTCCCCTGTCTCAGTGTACATTTGCCACTATTTCCCAACCCAGGATTAAACAATCTGGGCTTCAAATTACTTCACACGAGCTACCTGAACAAAGTGTTGAATTAGTCCCTGTCCCTTAATTGTAGGATTAATCAGGGATTTACGAAGCTCTCAATTTTTAATCTCTTTCATTTTGTCCTGCACGTTTGTATCTGTTAATAGCCTAGATTTTGGGAGATATCACAATTGTTCTAATGGTGGATGGAGTTCATGCACTCTTTCTGTAACATAAGTACAGCACTGCCATATTGGTAAAGGATTAAAGGGACATGGGCAGAGTCTGCCCAGTGCAATTACAGTGCCTAGCATCTATTTGATGGATCCTTGTGTAAAATGTGGCTGTCCTGAATTACGTACACTGTGTGTCAGCTGCATTCAAGGAAGTCAGAATTGTATAATGCCCAAACAGATACCCCTTAAAGGCCTTGCTGGAGGCTGCTCCTAGTCTACTGGAAGGCTTTCATCAATGCTGCAGCCGTTGATTATTAATTTGAAAATTCCTGACAAGTAGAAGACATTTGTTTTAACAGCAGGACTGTTGCCACTGTACAGAGTGGGTACAGCAGCATCCAAATCCTGCAACATGACAACAGCAGTGTGAATATCCACATTGATCAGCAGACGGTTCCAGAAAACATGAACCTCATGCCTGTGGTTATTGATGGGTTCAGGTTCTGGGCCCAGGCTGAGTGAAGATCATGGCTGTACATTTTTCTTGAAAAAGCAAATGATTCTTTGTTTTACCATCACACCTCACTGCCAGATTCTAACTCTATGAAGACATAGTGTGGATTCTGGTTAAAAGAGAATTGCTTGTTTAAATCTTGGCACGTGGATAAATTTGGCCATCACTACTCATTCTCCATTGCCCTTGGATAGTGGCAGTGAATCAATTTCTTAGATGTCTGCAGGCAGTGTGGTGAAGATGCTTGCACTGATCCATTGTTTTGGCCCAATGAATATGAAAGAACAGTTATTTATGTTTAAATCACAATAGTGTGCTACTTGGAAGGGAACTTTGAAAGTAGTGGTGTTCCCTATTTGCCCAATGCCCTTAATCTTCAAAGCGCTGGAGCAAGGTTTAGTGGGTTCTGTCAAAGAAGCCACAGTGGATGACTGCAGTGCATGCTGTGGTGGGACGAATGCTTGTTTATTATGGTGGAAATTCTTGTAGGAGCATCAATATCCTGACAAATATGTTTGCTAGTTCCATGTGGGAGGGTTTAAACTAGTGTTGGGGGGGGTTGGTGGGAACCAGAGCAGTAGGTCAACAAGTGAAATGACCAAGGAGGAGTTAGAGGCTAGTAATGCTAAGAAGAAGAACAGACAGGGAGAAGTTACTGAACATGGTGGGACTGGCTTTCTGAAGAATATTTGTGTTAATGCAAGGAGTATGACAGGGAAGGCAGACAAACTTAGAGCTGGGATTAGTACATATAATTATGATGTTGCAGCTAGTACAGAGACCTGGTTGAGAGAGGGACAAGACTGGCAGTTTAACATTCAGGATTTAGATGCATCAAGTGAGATAGAGAAGAATGTAAAAGAAATTGTGTTCCTGATTAGGGAGAATATCACAGTTGTACTGAGGGAGGACATCTTGGAGGGCTCATCCAGAGAGGCCACATGGGTAGAGCTCAGGAATAGGAAGGGCGCAGTCTTTTTGATCAGATTGTACTACAGGCCTCCCAACAGCCAGAGGGTGATAGAGGAATGGATATGTGGCCAGATTATGGAAAATGTGAAAACAACAGAATCCTGTGGTGGGTGGTTTTAGCTTCCCCTTTATTGATTGGACACCCTTAGTGCCAGGGCTCAGATGCAGGGAGAATGTGTTAGGTATGTCCTGGAGAGCTTTTCGAAACAGTATGTAAATAGTCCAACTAGGGAAGGGGCCATACTAGGTACTGGGGAATGAGCCTGGTCATGTGATCAAAGCTTCAGTGGAGGAGCATTTCCAGAACAGTGACCATAATTCTGTAAGTTTTAATCTACTTATGGACAAGGATAACAGTAGTTTTCGGGTGAAAATACTAACCTCGGGGAAGGCTAACTACCATAAAATTAGGCAGGAACTGGACAATGTGGATTGAGAGCAGCTGTTTGAGGGTAAATCGACATCTGTCAAATGGGAATCTTCTAAAGGCCAGTTGATTAGATTTCAGGACCAGCATGTTCCTGTGAAAATGGAAGATAAGGATAACAAGATTCAGGAACCTTGGATGACAAGAGAAATTGTGAGCTGAGTCCAAAAGAAAAAGGAGGCATACATAAGGTTTAGCAAAATGAAGACAGACCGACCCCTCAAAGAATATAAAGAAGCAGGGAAGAGTTAGGAGGGCTTAAAAGGACCGTGAGATGTCCTTGGAAAACAGGATTAAGGAAAATCCCATGGTGTTTTATACACATGTAAAGAGCAAGAGGGTAGCTAGGAAAAGCATAGGTATCCTTAAGGACATAGGAGGAAATTTATCCATGGTGCCAGAGGGTGTGGATGAGGTCATTAATGAATACTTTGCATCTGTATTCACAAAGGAGAAGGGCATGGTGGATGGTGAGTCTCAGGAGGGGTATGTTGATATAAAAAACAAGGAGGTGTTGTGAGTTTTGAAAAGCATTATGGTAGACAAGTCCCCAGTCCTGGATATCTACAAATTTTACCATTGCTGAGGATACAAGACATAATCAAAACAACCCTGATTTCAGGTTAAAATCTAATGCCTCAAGGATGCAAGGTCATTTAAAAAAATGATTTCCTTGACCTTTTTATCCTGGATACTCTTCCCTTTTTAAATTTTATATATTTGCTGTTAATGATTTGTTAATGGTGTGTTTTATTATTTTTCTTGGGGTCAGTTACAAAATTTATTTTCCTTTCACTCAAGAAATTCTTGCAATTGGTATCACAATTTCTACTCTTATTACTTAAAGTTTTGGCAAAGATCTGTAGCTCGGGTTGTGGGTGAGGTTGTTGACTTGATTGCCAAGCTGGCTTGTTCTCGTTCATGAATGAGAACAAGCCAGCTCGGCGAGCAAGTCAACAACCTCACTCTTATTAGTTTTTTAATGGATCTGTGATGTAGCTGAGTGCTAAAAAGAATCAAAAATATTTGTTATACAAAAAAAATGAAGGGGACTAATTCAGCACCCATGCCTAGTTACAAAGGTATCCTGGTACAGACAACAACTCGGAAGTACTATGGTGTTTACTCAGACCAAGAATCAAGGCCATGCCACTCCATTCAGAATCATGAAATAGAAGGCGAGATACAGTGGCTTTTGAAGTCTTACTCTCTATAACACAATGAATCTACTACATACTCGGACAGCTCTATTTTTCTTCCCACTCCAATATTCCCCAATTTCCTGAAAGTACAGAGGGGTTGCTGATAGTACCTTGCTGATTGGTCCATATGATTATTTGCACGATCTGGGGTTAGAGGGTGAGTTAGGGTGTAGGGAGTGGTAGTCAAACCAAATCTTTACCTCTACCCATATTTACAAGGACACAGCCCACCAGATAGTCACTGGTCAGCAATCATCACCAGGAATGCTGGTTTATTTAGCCTAAGTGGACAGAGCAGCCGAGTGGTTATGATAAAGACCAGAAATCAAGAATGCCTAAGCAAAAGAATGAGAAATATGAGTTCAAATCCCATCACGGCAGATGTGGAATTTAAGTTTGGCAAAGTGAATAAACCTGGAATAAGAGGCATCAGTAGTGGTAATTATGAAACTAATGGATTGTTGTAAAAGTCCATTTGGCTCACTAATGCTCTTTAGGAAGGGGAATCTGCCATTTCTACACTCTTTGACCTTTACATGGTCACAACAATGTGGTCAATGCTTAACTGACCTGTAAAATGTCGGTTGTCAAAAAGATGTAACTCAGTCCCACTGTCCTCTTAATGGAAACTCGGGGTAGATAGTCAATAGTGACTTTAGCAGCAATAGTTATGAATGAATAAAAAATCATTGTAGATTACCAACTCAGAGTTCTCTGGTCAATGTGGCTGAGTTCTACACTGAACCTGCTTGCTAATATGACTCATTTTAATGGCTAAATCTATGCAGCAGGAGATGACTTGATACCTGTATGAGCTGACTGCTGGGTTTGCCTTGGCTGAGCATCGGAATCTCACCGTGCTTCCTTCCAAGACAGGCTGTGGCTCCACTGTAAGGTTCACCAGAGGTGGGTCTGCAGATAGAATATAAAACAAGAGATAGATTATTCCAATTCCATAGTGTAGCTCTCAATTTCCGAACGTGTGAGCGGCCTGCAAAAGCGATTACGAGGCTGATCATGAATTCTCAATCAATTAAGATAGATCTTTAGGCATCTCAGTGAAAAAGGAGTCAGTTGTATAGACTTCTGGATAATTCAGGAAATGTAGACTCACTAAAATAGGCCAACAGTACAATTAATTGCAGAAACAGGCTGGCCCTTCACTGACCTTGAGTATCTGCAAAGTTGTTGGATGAAGGGGCTGAATCTTTGTTTCTGATATTTGTAATAAGAGTTTCAAACAGCCCTTACAATATATAAAACAGTTATATTCCATCTGGTGTTTAGTAAGCTGAAGTGTTCTTTTGTTATAAGTACATTAGCTGACACTTGTGAATCTGTTCAGAGGCTGACCACCATGGTAATCAAATTGTGAAATTTGAAAATTTATGGCCTATAAAGCCAGATCTCACCCCAGAATATTGGCCAGTATTACCATCAGCTGGGATCATAAGAGGTAAGCGGGGAAAAGTTCAAAGGAGATGTGAGGGGCAAGTTTTTTGACACAGAGAGTGGTAGGTCCTGGGGGTAGTGGTGGAGGCAGATATGACAGAGCATTTAAGGGACTTTTAGAAAAGCACATGAATAATCAAGGAATTGAGGGATAAGAACCATGGGCAGGTGGAAGGGACTGTTTAACTTGGCATCAAGTTTGGCACAACTTCTTGAGGCAAAGGGCCTGTTCCTGTGCTGTACTGTTCTATGTTCCGTAACAGCATGAAAAATGTACAAAATCATGGAAACACTTGAGACAGTGTTTAAAACAGGATACGTGATTACAGAAGATGCTGAATTCAGGTCCATTTGCAGATCTTGACAGTGTTGAAGTTTGCATGAGTGGTTGCATGAGCAACTTAGTCAGACATACAAGATGTGCCATACTCTCCAATTTCTACCATAAGGGTAATTAAGGATGGGCAATAAATGCTGGTCCAGCCATCAATGCCCACGTTCCGTGAGTAAACAAGCCAAAATAAAATTAGACTAAAAATGTTCACTTCATTGCTAATAAATTGGTGAGGCAGGAAATTGAGAGAAAATGTCTGACCAAGCTAGAAAGATCACATTGGAGCTTCAAGCATAGTTCTCAGATAATTCCATGCAGGCCATGGCTATAGATGTGTAAAATATAGGAACAACATTTTTGTTACTTTTAACAAGATGAGAGATACATTACAATAGCTTTGCAATGAGTACATAATGGTCATAAGTTGCTCACTCCTAGAGTGCCAGGACTGATGAGGCACTAGCCGATGAGAAGGATGATGAGAAATGAGGATATGAAAATGGAAACTCTTCTCACTTCTCACCCATTGCCTTTGTGACCAACTTCCCAGTTAGGCATGTGACATGCTAACTTATACTTAACAGCTGAGTCTGCCCCTGCCAAGACGCAGTTGGAACAGTTCTTGGCAGTGTTTTATGTTTGGTTATTCTAAGTAGGAGACAATACTAAGTCATTGATGGTGATGAGTTGGCTCAGGACTGATGGACTCTCTTCAATCTATATCTTTTTGTTCCTTATTCATAAATTATTGAAAATGGTAGTGTCATGAAATGAAAGCTTTTCGGTGTATTTTGTTGTATTCTTACTGTAAAATACACATGACAATAAAATCCAAATCTTCAAAAGATTTGAATAATAACTAGTTTATTATATATTAAGACATAATGCATAACTTTACAGAAGCAGGGCAAAGTACTGAATTCATTATACTGCCTTCCGAATTGGTCTTCCCTGTGATCTCTTATAATGTCTCAGTGAAGTTTCCTTTTGTTATAACACATATAATTATTCAAAAGCAAAATGCTTGGTGACAAGGGAAATCTGAAATGGACAGTGAAAATGCTAGAAATACCCAACAGGTCTTGCAGCATCAGTGGAGAGAGAAACAAAGTTAACATTTGAGGTTTATGACTCTAATTGCAAGTTCCCATTAAAAGGCAATTACCTGAAATATTAAGGTTGTTTCTCTCCCCACAGATACAGCAAGACTTTGCCGAGCATTTCCAGCATTTCCCCTTGGTATTTTCATAAAATTTACATTAACTCTGCTTGCATTTCTTGTCCTCTATTACATCTAGAGGACCATCTCACTCTTTCACAATGGTAGTTCATACATGCCATGATTCATTGAACAGATCTGAAATGGATAGATGTGTGGATGAAGGATTGTGGTGGTTAAACTGAAGTGGAGGAGGGAATAGTTGGTGTGAACGCGTGAGAACAGACAACAGGATTTTGTTTCTGATGTTCACCTCTGTGAGTCACCGAAAATTGAACCTTAGGGGAAAGAAACAACCTTAACATCTCAGGTTATTTCCTTTTAATGGGAGCTCGCAATTAGAGTCATAAACCTCAACTGTTAACTTTGTTTCTCTTTCCACAGATGTTGCAAAACCTGCTGAGTATATCTAGCATTTTCATTGTTCATTTCAGATTTCCCTTGTCACAAATCATTTTGCTTTTGAATACCTTAGAGAGCCAAACATGAGGTTAACCCGGCAATGGGTGTCTAATTCAGTGTGACATGGAGTACAACACGGTTATTCCAGAGACCCTGGCTGGTGATTACAGATGAACAGCTTTGAATCTTTCTGGGAATCTGAAAGGACATCTGCAATATTCCAGTAATTTGCTCAATGACATGCTTGGTGTCTTCTGGCTCTCATTGTATATCTCCTTTGGGGATATTCCACATTGCAATCATAAGCCAACTTTTAAGTGAGTATCCCTTATCTCCAATGAACCAGCCATTTAGTCTGCTTCCTGGAATGAAACACTAGGATGTGAAATTGCTTGAGTATTCATGACAACTCACAAGGAACCTGCTGCTGACCTGCATGTGCTTCTCCTTGTGGGTTCACACCAGCTATACATTAATGGATTTGAGATTTATTAAAAGTTCTGGTTGTTGTGGCTGTGCTTGTGTTGTCACTTGTGTACATTTGATGGCAGCCTATAGCCAGACAATCATTCTGTCTATTGCCAGTTCAGGGAAATTTATATATAATTCTCAACTCCACAATCCAGTATTTGAACCCAGTGACAGTGAAGGAACAGATATATATTTCCACGTCAGAATGGCGTGTGGCTTGGATGGGCACTTACAGATGGAGATGATCCCAATGTCTGCTGCCCTTGTCCTTCTGGATTGTAGAGAAAATTTCATTGGTGTTGTCTAAAGAACCTTCATAAGTTACTGCAGTACATATTGTAGGTGGTACAAACTGCTGCCATTGTGCATTGGCAATAGAGAATTAAATGCTTAAGGTGCTAGATGAGGCAGCTTTGTTGTGGATGTCATTGAGCTTCTTGAGTGTTGCTGGAGTTGCACTCTTCCAGGCAAATGGGAGTACTCCCTCACACTCCTGTTTTGTGCCTTATAGATGGTGGGCAGGCTTTGGGGAGTCAGCAGGTAAATACTCATTTTGGAATTCTCTGCCTCTGATCTCAGTATTTATTTGGCTGGTGCAGTTAATTTCTGATCAATGGTAATCCTCAGGATGCTGATAGTGGAGGATTCATTGATGGTCATCCCACTGAATGTCAAGGAGCAATGGGTGGATTCTCTATCTTTTCAGACATGGTCATTGTATTTGTTGGCATAAATGTCATTTGTTGGCTATCAGCCCAACTTTGAATGTTGTCCAGCTTTTGCTGCGTATGATGGACACTGTTTCAGTATTTGTGAAGTTGTGAATGGTACTTGGCACTTGGCAATAATCAGCCAACATGTCACATCTGATCTTATAATGGAAGCAAGATCATTGATGAAACAGCTGAGGATTGATGGGGGTCAGGACACAACGTTAAGGAACTCTGCAGAGATGTCCTTGGTCACAATCATCTTCCCAGGTATGACTCCAAACAGCAGAGAATTTTCCCTTGATTCCCATTCAAATCAATTGTCTTCAGGCTCCTTGATGTCTCACTCTTTGAGAGTGATTTTGATGTCAAGGTCATCACTCACATCTCTCCTCTGGATTTCGGAATTTTTGTCCATGTTTGGACTATGACTGCAGTAAATTTAGGATCTAAGTGGCCCTGGTAGAACTCAAACTGAGCATTAGTGAGCAGAATATTGCTGCATAAATGCTTCTTAATTGCACTGTCAACAATATCTTTGATCACTTTCTTGACAATCGAGAGGAGACTGATGGGGTAGCAACCTGAATCTATCTCACATAGCACAGTGATAGTATTCTGCAAGATAATGGATGGTGTCCTCATTGTGCAGACGGGACTGTGCAGTGGTCACTCTGACCAATACATGGCCATGGGCTGATATGTTGGCAAAGACAGACAGACGAGGATGAGATTCACTAGGTTTTTCCCTCTCCACCTGCTGTAGGCCTATTTTGGCAGATATGCCCTTCAAGACTTTGGCAACTCATCATTAGTGGTGCTAAGGAGACACGCTTCGTGTTGGTTATAGAAGTCCCCAAGTCAGGAGTGATCTGTTTTCTTGAGAGACTACAATCCACATGGTGTCAGTATATTGAAAAAGTTCCCTGCAAGGTATACACAAAGCAAAACAAATAAAATGGATTCAAGCACAAAACTCTCATATTTTTAATTGTTTGTGTTGCTAATCATGTTTGGAAGGGTTCTGGGTGTCGAGTTCCAGCTTTTATACAATGACAATCAAAGATGTCTAACTAGCCTGGAGTATTGGTTTTGATAAGTATGTTTAAAGGAGCTTTGACGAGTTGTTATAGTGCACTGTATAGATGATACACACTGCTGCCAGTGTGCATCTGTAGTGGAGCAAGTGAATATCATATGTGAATGTACTGCCATCAAATGGGGTGCTTTGTCCTGGATGATATCAAGCTTCTTGAGTGTTGTTGGAGCTGCACCCATCCAGAAAAACAGGGAATACCTCATCACACTTGTGACTTGTGCCTTG